CAGCAGTGGAGCGATGCCGCTGATGAGCTTGATATCTGGCCCGTGGAGTATTCCGACATCCTAGACCAGACTCCACCTGCCGCTCGCCTGAAACATGCCTCCCCATTATACCGCGGCAGACGCCCTCACAACCTTTCTCCCTTCAGGATGACGCTGCGATCCGGATGTCGGCCCTCTGAAAACAAACCCCGACCGACAAGCTCCCCCTCGCCGTCTCCTCCCCCATCCCCTTCCCTTACACCGCACTCCGGGCCCCGTGGCCGAGCCAGAAGGGGAGGTCACATCCAGTCTGCAAAGCCCAGAGGGACTCCAGGACATGGGGAGGGCACCCAGCGGATGCCCAATGCTATTGAGACACTGACCATCAAGACTCGCCCATACTGCTCTCAGCGATGTCTCCTTGCGCTTAGGGACAACACCCCTCTTGATCCCACATGCTCCAACTACGAGGATCACAGGAAGCACCGGATCAAGGCAGGCGAATTCCGTGCTCTTGTCCAGAAGCAACTTGCCACAGATCGTGGCCCAGACGCTGACTGCTGTCCGCTCTACAAGGCAGGAAGTTGTGGCGCGCTGCTCAAAGTGAGGCTTTCATCGCATGGATACACCTTGGTCGCCAAGGCCGTGGAATGCAAGCATAAGCATAAACTCCGACATGAAATGAAGGTCTACAATGAGCTCCGAGATCTCCAAGGCGAATGCATTCCGGTCTGTCTTGGTTTAGTGAAACTGGCGCCGGGGCGCCCCTATTACTATGATGAAAAAATCCACACCCACATTTTACTTCTAAGTTGGGCAGGAGAACCAATTGAGAAATACAGGAAACTGAACCACACGGCGGTCGCGGGATCCACGGTAGATGCCCTCGAAGCCATTCACTCTAAAGGAGTTACCCACGGTGACGCGGAACCGCGGAATATGCTGTGGGACCTAAGCCGCCAACGTGTGGTCATAGTAGACTTGGAGCGATCGACTATACGGAATCCTCTATCCTCCGTGTCTACTAACTCGAGAAAGGATAGGAAATTGACGAATGATGACTATAGCAAAGAGCTTCAAAGGGTCAAGGCTTTATTTGAGGGTAATGCGGAGTCATCGTTGTAGAATTCTTTATTCCGCGACTTAACCCAGTGTTGTGATTGATACTTTCCGTTGTACTTTGGAATATCTGCGCCTCTATAGTTTCCTAGATTTTGTTTCACTAATCTCGCTATACATGTAGTTAATCTCCTTTCCCGGAAGACCTTAACAATATTATTAAATAATGATTAGGAGAAAGCTTTCTTAGACTTTGATCATCTAGTTTTCTATCCCGAGCAAATTTCATGTGATTTTGATGTCTCTGCTCGGCTGCAGGCGGGCACCCCGCCGTTTTTAAATCGCGCTACGATCGAGCCTTCGAGAGGGCTGAGTGAAGTGGGGGAATTATGTCACGTGAACACAAAGGTTCTCTTGTTGGCTGATGCACTACATTATTGACTAGAGAGTCTTAGATACAATCAATATTACTATCTTTAGAATTAAATCTAAGCGCAGAGCGGACTTAGATTGGCAAGGAGCTTTCCCGGGTAAGAGCATGTCTGAGCAATAAACCGGCCCGGTTCAGAGTGCTGGTGCAGGGAGCTTCAATAGGTTAGAAGCACGGGAAACAAATGCGCTTGAGAGTGTGCTTAAGATTAAACCAGGGGGCGGGCGCGAGGGCCGGGATATCACGTGACGCTCCTGGGGGGTCTTTAACGAAGTGTGGTTAAGGGCCTTAACCGGGGAAACAGGCCGGGCCGGAGGTGCGGGCGCGGGGGACGGCCGGAGGGTCACTAGAGCAGTCCGCAGCGGGCGCAGTGCCCGGTGTCTAGAGAAGGTAATAGTCCGGCATGACAATGTTAATGTCTTGATAAATGCGGTGACAAGACCTCACTTAACATGCTTAGACAGTTCTCAATGATAGAACTGCTTCAAACGCGCTTCTCTGATCAGTCAGTTAAAGCTATATCTCAATTCTTCTTTCTATATTTGCGGAGTGTCACTGCTGTCTACTCAAGTATATCCGCAAGAGAAGGATATTTTACATATATACATACATACGTATAAATACTTATTATTATTATTATTCTTTCATTATTATTATTATTATTCTTTCATTATTATTATTATTATTCTTTCATTATTATTATTATTATTCTTTCATTATTATTATTATTATTCTTTCATTATTATTATTATTATTATTCTTTCATTATACTCATATGCAAGCAGAGCTTATGATGAGTCCTTACGTGATGTTAAATACAGATCAAGTATTAGTTATACAGGAGGAAATACAGGTGTTGAGATCATTATTATTATTATTATTATTATTATTCTTTCATTATACTCATATACAAGCGGAGCTTATGATGAGTCCTTGCGTGATGTTAAATACAGGCCAAGTGTTGATTATACAGGAGGAAATACAGGTGTTGAGACCATGCCAAGATAACAAGAACATAGGAAATACAAAGAAGTGACAATTAGATACATGCGATAATAACTTCCCAGCCCAGGAACATAGAGCGATTTATTGGAGCGATTTGTACACCTCTGTATTTATTAGAAACCTGAGATGCTTGAGTTCCGGATTTAATGTATCCCCTGCGGGTTTCAAACCCACACACTCTGGTTTCTCACATCAAGGCACTAACCGTGCCATGCTTACTCACTCTCTGTAGTGAGTGCGTCACAGTGTACGGAAAACCACACTGTAAAGAAAATATTTTCAATATCTTCATTCTTCATCTTCAAATAATCATCATTAATTATAATCATGTCTAAATCTTCTAATTACACTGAGAAGCAGTTGTAAAGAGCTGTTGATATGTACAAAAGCAATTCAAAATTAAAAATCACATCTCTGTTGTGAGAATTCAAAGTCTCATATATCACCTTGTATGAGAGAATTAACAGGAAGAAATCAAGAACTATGAGAGTTTCACTGAATTGAGCATTGAATGACAGCCAGAAAGAGACAATTAAGATATGAATTCATCAATTAAACATTAATTTTTACTCACTCATTATCAAGCATATCAAAGCTGCTGTGAACTGCATGTTGAGACAGTATTATACAGATTCAGAGACTGCATCTCTCACAGTAAGTAAGATATGAATATATCAATTTATCAAACATCTGTCAGATTACAAATGAGTCAAGCAAAAACTCATGAATTCAAAATGAGTGTCTTATGAGAATATAAGCTTCATTATCAACTGATTTGATTGATATAAAGCTGTCTTCAATCAATATCAATTTTTTTGCTGCGATATCTACAACTTTGATGAGATTGAATTTCAAGAAGAAGAAGAATGCAGACAGTGAGTTATAACTGTCTTTAAAGACATGAATTCTGTCATACAGTTATCATACTTCTGTGAATTAATAACAGTGATGAAGTGTGTCAGTGCAGATGACACAGTATTGAATTCATTGATTATAATGAAATTGAAGGTTCATCTAGAGAATTGATATACACACTTCAACTTATCTAACAACTATGTTATCACTGCATCTGAGTCTGGCTTTACAAATGATGAGATTGAATTTGAATGAATCAAGTGATTCAATAAGATGACAAAAAAGTGTCAAATGAGCAGTCATTGACTGCTATTAATGAATAATCATGATTCTCATCTTATAGAAGAATTCATTCAATACTGCAATTTTCATAAGATTATTCTGTTCAGATTCTCATCTTATACAAGTCATATTCTACAATCTCTTGATGATGTACCTTTTCAGCAGTATAAGCATTATCATACAAAGGCAGTTAATGAGACTGCCTGCTACAGATATGAGCAGTATAGTGGCAGATAATTCCTTGCTAATCTGAAGAGCATCTGACTGCAAGCATTCAAACCTGACACTGTGAGAGCTGGCTTTGTCAACTGTGAAATGTATTCAGTTAATCGCGATATAATTCTCAATTGATTGATACCTCTTATCATTGATGATGCTCTGAATCTCAACATATACAATGATGATGATGTATGCAATCACTTTACTCTGTCATCTGTAGATCAATTATCAACTGTCTCCTTGCAATTAATCTTCTCAGAGATGGTTGCAAAACTACATCATCAAATTGATGCAGCAGTCAAGGTCTTAGAAGATGTGAAGAATACTCTTACATCTGGTTTAACAAGACAGTTGAACAAGATCTTCAAGAGTAGCATGATTCAGGCAGAATTGAACACACATCATGAGAGTGAACTTGCAGATCATTATTAAGCAAATAGATGTCAGATTGTCAAATCCTTTCACAGACAGGTGCAAGTAGGTGAAGTTCTCACTATTAAGAATACCAATCACAAGATTGCAATCTGTAGAGCAGATGAGATGAAAAAGATGTTCAATAAGACTCTTTAATCAATTGAAATCAAATCTACAAAATCTACAGTCACTTAATCATAATAAGATAATTCTATAGAATCTCAACTTACAGTGAATTCTACATCTTCTAATGAGTATATAGATAATCTTTATGTTATAGATAGATATGATGATGATTATTAATTAATTTTTGAAGATTACTATATTCAAAATATTTTCTTTACAGTGTGGTTTTCTGTACGCTGTGGCGCACTCACTACAGAGAGTAAGTAAGCATGGCACGGTTATGTTGATGATTACTACACCTACTCTAGTCACGTGCCACCTCAACCTATTCATTTAGTGTAACTCGTGTAGTTAGATTACAATACAACACAACAATGTTATTCTTCAAGAGGTTATGAAGCTCTCTATGCAATGAAAAGCTGTAAAATAATGTGCAATTGACATCTCCACGTGTCGTTACAAGTGTGTCTAGATGATTTATTGAGTGATTGAACTCATGATTAATCTAAGATTCAGAGAGACATCTGACTTAACAAAAGAATACATGTCTTCAAGATGAAAAAATGAGAAAATGTCAGAGCAGCAAATGCAAGATCACAGATCACTGTTAATATTAATAATGAATTGAAAGATGACTTCTGAGATGTTTGAGCTGAATAAAATCATTGCAGAAGAACAGTCTGATAAGTTCAATGTATACAAAGACTCAGTTGAAGGCATCATCAGTGAGATGTCAGATAATGTGAGAGGCTCAAGTGACTGGAATGACAATAGCTCAGTGAGTGAGAAGACTTGTATGAGACTAGAAATTGCAAGACTTCAGCATGAGGTTGAGTGAATGAAGATCAGTAGAGATGACTCTGTAGATGATGAGATGAGAGCAGATCTGACAGAATACCTTCAATAGAAAGAGAAGACATCTGTTATAATGAAAGTTCTTGAAGAATTCAGAAGCTAAGTAAGACTTATCAAAAGACTGATTGTTCTCACTGAATTCATTAACTACTCAATGTGAAGAGAGGAAATTCTTTTGACTGCAGAGCAGTCTGAAATCAATGATATTCTTAAAGATAATAGCCTTAATGAGAATGCTACTATGAATATGCAACATTTCTGAAAAGAATACAATCTTTGATTATACAATTACATGTGGTCTGCAATTACTCTGCAGGCTAAGACTCATTTCACTATACTCAAGAAGTTCAAATTATCAGCTTATGCTCTATGAACTATCATAGAGGATAACTTTTTCAAGAGGCCTGCTGTACGCAGGACTTGTTTGTTTGAAGAGCTTATTAAAATGATCTTCAAAAGTAAAGAATCTGACAGAGCTTTCATTGAACATCTGATTGTCATAAGAACTGATTATATCTGTCTAGAATATGAGATTTCAGATGTCATGTTTTTCAACAGACTGCTTACAGGAGTCAACAGAGGTTGAGCCTCATTCATAAGGAATTGAATGGATCAAATTGACAAAGATAATACCCAACTCTTAGAGGATGATTTTATAAGCCTGTGCTGTGATATTCTTTTGCAGCTCTCTGCTGTGAATGAAGCAAATACTGATGTATCTAGAAATTCTATCAACAACATGCAAGATAAGGATAAGAAAGGCAAGAACAAAGAGAAAGACAATGACAAGAACAAGAACACTAAATTCAAATCTGAACATAGAGATAATGATGCGAGGACCTGCTATCATTGTCAAAAGATTGATCATATTCAGACTGACTGTTGGAAGAAATACTCTGAGAAATGTTCTTCAAACTTCAATACAAATAGAAACAAGAATAAAGACAAGAATGCAGAGAATACAGGTGCTGCTCCTGTTCACAACATTATGAAGCAAGTATTTTGCATCAAAGAAAAGGCCTATGTGAGTGGCCAGACAGAAAAAGATATCTGAATTCTAGACTCTGAATCAGGCGCTCACATCACACCTCACAGGGATCTTGTTGTGACAAAACCTCAGAAGGTGAAAGTGATGTTGAAAATAGCAGATGAAATAGTGGTCTCTGCTGCAGCTATAGAAGATACAAAGATTTCAGTGAAAGAGATGAATATGCTATTAAATGATGTCTGCTATGTCCTGAAGTTAGAAGTGAACCTCATGAGTATGAGTAAGCTTGTATGTCAGGGTTATATCTATAAGCAGTTGACATATGAGAATAATCATACTATGTTGATTATGTCTCTCAACTGCATGTTCTCATTTACAGCAAGATTAAATGAGAATGATATCTATGAGATGGAAAGGCCAGTCACATACAGAGACTTGATTCAATTTGCTATGCTCAATGATGATTTTGAATCTGTGAATACACTGCGGATAAAGAGTAATGACACAATATTGACACTATCTGAAAGAAATGATACAAAGATTATAGAACTTATGATGATGCAATGATATTAAAAGCTAGAACATCTGAATCCCGCAGATATCGCAAAAATGGCAGCAGATTCACAACTAGAAATGAGAATAAAGAATGACAGAGCTTTGCCATTCTGCAAGACCTGTGTACAGGCAAAAATGACATGTTCAACCTTCACATCTATGACATGAGCTGTCAAGCTGGTAATGAGATTCTTCATTGATCTGGCAGGGGGTGGAAAAACACTTTTCAATGAGAATGACACTCTCACTAGAGAGGGTGCAAGCTACTGATTGAGTATAATGAACAATGCAATCTGTTATAGGTGAGCAATTCTTATAATGAGAAAGAGAGAATCTACTGCAAGATTAATAAACTTTATCACAGGTATTGAGATAACTACACAATGTTGAGTTAAAACCCTACACTGGAATGATGAAGGAGAGTTCAAAAGTCAAGAACTTAAGACCTACTGTCAGAGTAAAGAAATAGTATATGAAATGACTACATCTGACACATCACAATTGAATGGCCCAGTGAAATGTGTGAATTGAATAGTTGCAGAAAAGATGCAAAGCCTACTATTTAATAGTGAATTAGAAAGAGAACTTTGAGATGAAGCAATGCAAGCTGTGATCATGATGATCAATACATCTTCAACATCAATAAAGATATTTGAATGCAAGGAAGAAACATCACTTACATCTTTTGAAGTGTGAACTGAGGTACAATCTTCTGTTCATTGAATATGAAGATGGGGGTGCAAGGTCTACAAGAAGGATTTAAAAGTGTTGAATAAGCTTATGAATACAACTGATGACAGGGAATGACAGCTGGTTGAATATCAAGAATTACATCAATATTGTGTGTGAGATTCTATTGCATGTTATCTTGAGATTGCATGAGATATTATATTTGATGAAGCTCTTGACATGAGTGCAAATACACCTGTAAATACAGTGAGAGAATTCAATGAATTGTCTAATAAATTGAACATTCTGAATGCTAGAGAAGAATAGCAGCACTGCTTACTATGACACCTAGTGAAGAAAAAGTCAGATGTTTTGAAGATGATTGTTAATAGAGACTTAGAGAGTGCAATTGATTCAATCTATCTTCTAGATAATGAGACACAGCTTGTCATGAATGAAGAGTTCAAAGACCTTGTTAATAAGAATGATTCTGTTCTAAGTGTTCTGACAGACTGATCAACTACACTGGTGAAAGCCAAGAGAAGCTCAGACTGAGACTATTGACATAAAGCAATGAAAAAGAAGATTAAGATATTTGAACAGAAGAAGACATATATTGTCATTGAGAAGGCTCTGGAAATGAATATTCTTACAGACAAATGAGTATATGATTAGAAATTCAATAATAAGAGAGAAATCATCTGCTTTAGAGCTTGCTGAGTGATTAGAGGGTTCTTGCAACAGCAGAATATTCATTATATGAGATTGTATGCTGCAGTGATATCAGGGTCTACATCATGCAGTCTATTCACTATATCAACTGTCAAAGAATGAAAGGTCAAATTGATTGACTATGTATCCGCGTTTTTGAATGACATACTACTACAGAATGAGATGATCTATATACAACTGCTCACAGGTGTTAAGCACAGCAGAGAGGGCTTGATGAGACTACTCCGCCAGAGTCTATATGAAATGAAGCAAGTCATGAGAGTATGGTATTTCCTAGCAATGAAACACCTCATCACATTGAGATTCAAGATATCATCTTATGACAGTGAATTTCTATATCACCCTGTCTGCAAGATCTATCTGACATTGCATGTTAATGATTGTCAGGTGACAGAACCTCAAGAACAGCAATTAGACTGAGTATTGAGAGAGATTGCAAAGAGATTTGAGACAAAGAATGTCAAAGAGATCAAGTCATATCTTGGGATGAAGATCAAATGCCAGAGGAATGACAATCTAGCGGTTACACAGAGCTGTTATATTGAGGAGATTCTTGAAGATTTCAGCATGGATAAGGTGAATCCGGCTGGCACCCTGATGACAGCTGGCATACAACTGGAATTCTCACCTGATGAGGGGGGAGGATTGAATGATGACTTTACAGCTATGAGATATTGTCAAGGATTGGAATCATTGCAATATTTGGTCTCAAGCAGCCAGCCAGACCTGGCATTCGCGGTCAACTATCTCTCGCGTTTTAACTTGTGTTCATACAAAGCATGTTGAGCAGTGTTGAAGCATGTCCTACATTATATCAAGAAGATGAAAAACCATGGCATATTATACAGGAAGGAGATCGGTGATGTGAGCCTGAGTTCTGTGACATACTGTGATTCAGACTGGGCGGGGGCGGATCCTCAATACAAATCAACTACTGGCTATGTTATATTGATTAACAGGTCACTGATCTCATGGCGGTCGCAGAGACAGACATCTATTGCTAAATCAACCACAGAAGCTGAATATATTGCAGCTAGCAAGGCAGCTTGTGAGATAATCTGATTGAATGATATGTTATATGACACTGAGTTGATGAATGATGGAAAAGCGAAAATATGCTCACATCTATGAGTTAACAATAAGGGAGCAATTGATCTAGCAAAGGGGGAATCCTTAACATGAAGATTATGTCACATTGAGATTAGATATCATATTCTCCGCGATTTGATTGAAAAAGAGGAAATCATGATAGAACATGTTGATTCTACAGTGAACATAGCTGACAGGCTCATCAAGCCACTGATGAAGCCTGCATTTGAAGAATTTGTCAAGAGGGTTGGCATTCAGGAAATTGAGAAGAAGGAATGATTGAATGGTAATGATGATATAGCAGATCAATGGATTTTGCATGTATTTCTTGATTTTTATGATTATTGCTGTACGGATGCCTTTTCTAATGAGGAAATCAGGGTCTGATTCATGTAATTAATTATTATTGCATTTTTGAAAGATTTGAGAATGGGGGAGGCCCCGGGTGGCGGCTTATTATAGGCCACAGTGTAGCAAGGGGGGGTGTTGATGATTACTACACCTACTCTAGTCACGTGCCACCCCAACCTATTCATTTAGTGTAACTCGCGTAGTTAGATTACAACACAACACAACAACGTTATCCTTCAAGAGGTTACCGGGTGGCTGCATTAATCATTCAGTCACCGGGGCAGTGTTGAGATCATGCTAAGATAACAAGAACATAGAAAATACAAAGAAGTGACAATTAGATACATGCAATAATAACTTCCCAGCCCAGGAACATAGAGCAATTTATTGAAGCAATTTGTACACCTCTGTATTTATTAGAAACCTGAGGTGCTTGAGTTCCGGATTTAATGTATCCCCTGCGCGTTTCGAACTCACACGCCTTAGTTTCCCATGCCAAGGCGCTACTGAGTGGCCGCATTAATCATTCGGTCACCGGGGCATTATTCTTCCATTATAGATGTATGCAGTCAGAGACTATGATATCTACCTGAAAACTTTTAGTTCTCAGAGTTTTTCTAGTATCTGTAAAGCTAATTGTTATACATTTATCAATTTCAGATATGCAAAATTAGAAAATTCTCATACTCACAGAGATATACACCTGTCTGAAGATAGATATAATGTTTGTAAGTGTAGTCATGATGTCACTGGCGGGAGGCAGGGAACTCAAATGATGTGTCAGTGATGTTTAATCAGAACTAGTTAAAAGCCTTAACCGCGGAAGAAGCCCGGGCCAGAGGTGTGCAGCCGGGATGACGCGTGATGCTCCAGGCATCTTTAGCCAGGGCGGGTTAAAAGTAGTCCCGGGCCAGAGGCGCGAGCGCGCAAGTGAGTGTTCAAACCAGCTGGACAAGTGGTCCGGGCCGGCGCGGCGCCCGAAGCTGGCCTTGATGTACCCAGGGGCTTTCAGAACAGTCTGATTAAAGCTCTTAATCAGAGAGTGTAGTCCTCTGACCTGTCTACACCGGCGCGGGCCAGCTCAGCGCGAAGGGCTCCCTGTAAAAGTGTGTAACACTGGGTCACGCCCCGAGTGCCTGTTTACCAGGGTACAGTTGAGTGTCTGAACCTTTGACCGGGCTGATGCTCTGAAGAGGAAGAGTTGTCTGATGACACACTCAGACAGTAGTGTGAGAGCAGCTGGTGGGTGAGAAGTGTCAGCAAGAGGCCGGAACATCGCGTGATACTCTCAGAGACTGTTAACAGAGTGTGAAGTGAACCTGAAAACCTCCTGACCAGGAACAAAGTCCGGCTGTGATGGAGACACAGTGCATCTCCGATGCCCTGCAGAGATGTTGCCACTCGCGTGCTCCGGCCGGACCACAGTCCTAGCTGGATAGACAGGGCCGTATGTATCCCACGCCGGTGACTATGGCAATAGAGTAAAACAACCAAGTCCCACTTTTTCAGGCTCAATGATGGAAAAATCCTGCCTGTTTCCTATGTTGAGATGGCTCAGTTTCTTCTATTTTCTCATGGAAAATCATCCCTCTCACTGTCATTTTCAGTACCAGGAGCTCAGTCTGGTAGAAGACAACCTGAGAAGCATCTGATGAGTGTGTGTAGACAAGAAGCTCATGTGCTTCTCTACAGATGGCATCGCGGCGAGATTGACAGCAGTGAAGAGGGACACCTGGGCGGCTTGTACTTTATGAGCTCTCAAACCCCTTGACCCCCGGTTTTCTCAATTCTTCACGGTTGTTCATCAAACACTCTTAGTTTCATGTCAGATAGAGCCTTTCATGTATGGTTAAGAACATTATCAGAGAACTCAGTGAGCCCTTCAATTCACAGTGGGCTTGAGCACCTGCTGCCACCTGTTCTTCTCTTCATTCCGGAGAAGCGGGTCTCGCGGCGGGTGTTGAAATCCCAGAGTCTCTCATGGGCTTCAGTTCTGGTTGAGATCTGTCAATTGTTGACTGCTGGTGAATGTTTTCGAATCAGATTTCCAGGGGGAAAGTCGGCTTCAGAAGCCGCTGCTTATCAGTGTGTCTGAGACTGTGATTCTTCATCAGAGAAACTGATGCGGCAGACAGGCTTCTCCTTGCAGATTGAAGCCCGGTTCTGCCGCGGACCATTCTCTGAAAATCTCAGTGAAGGCAATTGAATACTGTCTGAATGTTCAACACAGTGCACTGCCTGGTCATTCTCAGTGAGTTTCTGTAACTGAGAACTTCTTCTGTTTAGCTACTTTCTATTCTCTTCAGAGATTCAGGCCTGGGGTGTCTTCAGCCTTCAGACTTAAAAGTTAGCTACCTGATTGATTCTGTCAGTAGTCATATACTTGTCTCAAAGATTAAGTCATGTATGTTTAAGTATAAGCAATCTATACAGTGAAACTGTGAATGGCTCATTAAATCAGTTATCATTTATTTAATAGTATCTTACTACTTGAATATCTGTGGTAATTCTAGAGCTAATACATGCTAAAAACCTTGACTTCAGAAGAAGTGTATTTATTAGATAAAAAATCAATACTCTTCAGAGCTTCTTGATAATTCATAATAACTTATTGAATTGCATGATCTTGTACTGATTATGATTCATTCAAATTTCTGCTCTATCAACTTTCAATGATAGAATAGTGACCTATTATAGTAATAATGAATAACAGGAAATTAGAGTTCAATTTCAAAGAGAGAGTCTGAGAAACAGTTATTACATTCAAGAAAGGCAGCAGGCACGCAAATTATTCAATTTTAATATAAGAAGATAGTAAATAATAAATACTGATACAGAGCTCTTTCAGATCTTGTAATTAAAATGAGTACAATTTAAATCTCTTAACAAGGAACAATTCAAGAGTAAGTCTGATGTCAGCAGCTGTGATAATTTCAGCTTCAATAGTGTATATTAAAGTTATTATAGTTAAAAAGTATATAGTTAAACCTTGAATCTGACTGACTGTAAGAATAAGTGCTCGCAGGCGATTATTCGGGTGTTTGCAGCTTGGCGTGATATGTACTGTTAACTACTAGAAGTATTTGCAGTAGAAAGATAAAATATAGAGATCAAATGTATAATAGTATTCAAGCTGAGTTATGAATAGTATTCACAAACTTCAGTCTATATAGTTGTGTGTAGTCAAGAGCTGCTAGCTCTATTAATTATATAAGAGATAGAAATAGAGATAAAGAATCTGTAAGAAGCAGAATTTCTTACATACTTCTCTCTCTCTAAGACTTCATCTGTGAAGTCTTTCACTGAGTGACTTCATAGAATCAGCTCAGCACTGCAGTGATACTCACTAAAAATTCTTCATATTTATAAAAAATCTCAGTGAGGAAAAATCTCTTGTTACTGTAAAGAGAAAAGAGTCTGTTACTCAGTTTCTTATTTCATAAGATTCTTTATAATTTACAGATTCTTCTCTGACTATTATACAGATTCATCTTACATCTTCTATACAGAAGAGTTTCAGTTGACTCTCAATCATTTTCATAAGATTCTTATATAATCATTATACAGATTCATCTTGCAGATGAATCACTCTCTATGAGATTATTCTTATTAAAGAGAAATATTCATGAGTTAATCTTTCACTTATTCTTACAAATTATTGTTCTTTGACACTGTAGAATTATAAGAAATTTTCCATTCTTTTACTAACTCTGTAGAATTATAGAATCAAGATGTCTGTGATCTGTAATCACTCTTTATAATTATATAGAAAGATTCAGACTTGTAATTTACAATCACTCTTATTTACTAGAGTGATCTGACTGTTCTATGAGATCACTTACAGTGTAAGTAAACCTCTCTAGAGTAGTATAAATATCTCAGATCTGTCTGTGAAATCTCATCTTCTTTTCTCTTTTTCTATAACAGCTTTCATTCTTATAAACTGTGAGTATTCTCATTTATCTGTGAAGTGTTTTCACTCAGATGATAGAGAGAGAGTGTTTCTGACAATATCTGTGTATTAATTCAAGAACTTCTCAAGAATAAAAAATTTTTTCAATTTCAATATTTTCACAAATAATGTCTGACTGCTGCTGAGCTTCTTATAAGTGTCTCTGTGACTTCTCTGATCACTTTTTACTGGCTGATGAAGCAGAAGCACTGCTGTTCATGACTGTGTCTTCATCTCTCTCAGCCTCATCACTGCACTTAATCTTCAGGCTAGCAGCTCATCTCATCTCTTTCTCAGATCAATTTCTGACTTCAAGCAGTGCAGTTCCTCTCTTTGCTGTAAGTCTTCTCATAAGTAATTTCTTACAGATTCTAGCTGACAGTTCTTGTGAAGCTTCTAGTGTTGTCAGTGTCTTCTGTGATTCTGCAGATCTACAACCATCTCTTCCCTGCTCACACAATCTCTGATCAGGCATATGCAAATATGTCTAGGTTTTCTATCAATGATTCTCACACTGCAGTGCATTTTCATAATCTCATTATCAATGAGAGATAAGTTCCCAGGTACCTGCAAAATCTGAGTAATCAAGATAATGTAAATATCATAAATTCATGACAGAAGTTGATCTGAACAGATGAGCTCTCTTTTCATGTCTCAATTATTTTCAGGCTGAATACTTCAGTATAACTGAGAGAGTGAACACAGCTTTATAAGAGATATCTGATCATATACACAGATAATCAGTCTTCAAGACTCTGCTGTAACTGTATATATTCTGATATTCAGCTTCTCTGAAGTCTGTGTATTTCTGATAATCTTCATGTCAAATGCAATAATTATCTATATCACAGATATAATACTCTCTACTTCTTTAAAGAAGAAAATTGATAGTTGTGAAGAGATTGAGTGTCACAGATGTTAAGAGTGTGAGTTTGAGTTTTCTTTATTTTTTCTTTATTAATCTTCAAATTGTGTTCACAGTTCTGTTTATTTTCTTGTTTTTTAGCTTTAATAAGAATATGATTTCTTCTTTTCTTACATATGCTGCAGACTGTTCATCTCAGTAGAAACTCATTATCTTATAGATTAGAGTTTATAAATGACAGTATTAATGTCTTTATTATAATCAGGTTCTTAGTGAAGATTATGTTATTCTGACTTATCAGAATTTACAGTATGAAAATCATGTCTCAGCTTCTATAGATGTCTTATCTATCTGAATGATTCTTAAGTGAACTTATTCATCTTATCAGAATACTCTTGTCACTGAACCTTGAATCAGAGCTCATAATCTCACTTCTTTGAGTCAATAATTTCTTTAATCTGATATTCTCTTTCACTCTCTAGTGCTTTATAAATAGAGTGATAAGTCACAGAATTCTCTTCTGAGAATTTCTTATATTCACAGAGTAAAGAGATATGAAAAATATTATATATCTGCAACTCAGATAGCAGTTTCAATCTGTAGAACTGTGAGCTAACTTTCTTTATAATTTTATAAGACTCTGTCTGCAAGAGATTCAGCTTCTTACTAGATCTCTATATAATAATGTTTTCTAAACTTAGTCAGACTCTATCATCTTTCTTAAAACTCTTTATAATATACTTGAAGTCATAGTATCTCTTCTGATACTCTTAAGTCTTTCTCAAGAATTTATAAGCTTTCTCTCAGATCTTCTGAATTCTCTCAGTCTGTTTATGAGCATCATCACACTCTATAGTGTACTCTTGCAGATTTATCAAGATTATTCACAGATAAGTCTTAGTAAGTATCTTAAAGAAGATTTTATCTGTGCTGATATGTTTTGAGTTGTTGTATACAAACTCTGTGAGTGATAATCAATGCACTCAGTTATTCTGATTGTAATTAACAAAGTATCACAGATACTATTTCAATATACTTATCAGATGTTCTATCTGATTATCTGTCTGTTGATGAAAAGCTATGCTTAGATCTTGTAAGATCTTCAGTATAGTTATCAGATCAGATCAGAACTCTTCTGTGAAGATTGATTCTCTGTCTGAGACAATGTTTGCAGGCAACTCATGCAACTGAATCATATCATGAATAAAGATATAAGTCAAATTCTTTGACTTCAAGTCCTTGCAGGTGAGTATAAAGTGTGTTATCTTGATAAAGTAATTCACTACTATCAGCACACTGTCAAAGCAGACATTATATATGTTCTTGCTTTCAGAGAGACTTATAAGAACATTCATTTCTAGCTATTCTCAAGGTTTCTACAGAATGAGTAGAGAAGTAAGTTCTTCATATAATCTGAATCACACTATCTGCAAACTCTGATAAATAGTATAAGAATTCA